GAGCCTTGCGTTTATCCATAAATGGATCGATCGAGCTTGCATACCTTGTAGGCTTCTTTGGATTCAAAACCTTCAGGTTGTGTCATATACACTTCCTCTTGCAAGTTACTATTAAGAAAATCAATTTTGACATCCATTTGACATATCTCATAGTCATGATATGTAACTATTGCAAGCAAAATCCGGATGGACTTCAACATGGCTACAGACGAAAAGGTTTCATCAATTTCAACACCTTGCCTTTTTTATAACCTTTTGCTATTAGCATTGCCTTGTATGTATGGATGTTTCCATCTACGTCGACCTTTTCTCTTGTAAACACATTTACAACCTATGAATTTTATCCCATTAGGAGGGTCAACCAAGGTCCAAACCTTGTTTTCATACATTGAGTTCATTTCAGATTCATGGCCTCTATCATCTCTTTGAGTCAACACTTGACTTTGATTCTGCGTAATTAGTAGGTTTATTATCCTCGATTAATAATACTTGATTAGTAATCGTCAATTCGTACCTCTTAGGAGGTCGAATGGCCTTACTTGACTTATATTAGTAGGTTTATTATCCTCGATTAATAATACTTGATTAGTAATCCTGAATTCGTACCTTCGAGGGGGTCGAATGGTCCTATTTAATTTACGCCGATCCAGAGTATCTTCAGGAGTCTCTATGTCCTGATCAAGAGTTTGTCCCACAGCAGGTGTGTGATTAAACTCAGGTTCATCTAATTGGCCAACAATATCTGTAGATTCATGAACTTCTTCAAGTTCTAATTTGTTCCCACTACCCTCTCCTAGAATGAACTCTTTCTTTAGAAATATGGCAAGTCTTGAAATGAACACCTTCTTCTCAACGGGATTATAGAATTGATATCCAATTGTCTCTTTTGGATATTCCACAAATATACATTTATTAAATTTTAGTCTCAAACTTATTCAATCTAGTACGCTTCACGTAAGCTCACAGCTCCCAAACTTTTATATGAGATAAGTTGGGCCTTCTTCTGCTTTTCCATAACTCGAATGGAGTTTTGTCAACTGATTTAGATGGGACACAATATAGTGTGCAACACGTGGCAATCAGTGCATGATCTCAAAACGATTTTTGAATGCTTGCATGGCTTGTTATCAATTGCACTATATCTAATAGTGTACGATTCCTCATTTCAGATGCACCATTATGTTGCAAT